CAATATTGCATGACATAGAGCTCAACACTCACCACTATTGCACCACTTGTCATTAGCCTAGAGACTTTGTCTTTCTCTTTTTATAGTCCCTCCTCTGTGTCACTCTCTCCTCGCTCTCATTTTCACGCATCTTTCACACAAACAAAAACCAGTTGATTGAATTTGTTACTTTTGTTTAACCAATGGCTTCACAACAAGAAAGAAGAGAGAACATAACTGATGAACAACATAACATCCACTTAGAGAAAACCATAGACCCCAAAAGGGGTGCGGTGAAAGTTCAAGTTGGAACTGATTTTCATCTTGCAGGTGGTGGCATTATTCATGTCACAGATGCTGCTACTGCTTCTGAAAACAAAGGCCAAGTCCAAAGGGAGAATCAATCTTCTTTTGGTCATAATCAGAAGCAGCAACATGGGTTTGAAGAGAGACCAGGAGGTGTCAAGTTTGAAGTAAATAGCCAGAAGCAGAAGGGTTCTCTAGATTCAAAGCACAAAAGCCAAATGGAGAACTCTTCAGAAGAGCGCTATGACAAAGCAAAGGAGTTGGGTGGATCGGCATTGCATAATGTCAAAGAATCGGCAAGTCATGGACTTGGTTCTACAGGTCAGAAAGCGAGTTCAAGATTTAAATTTAATACTCTGTTTCAATTGATATGAATCTATTTACTTTTTCTTCCCTTCCAAAAGTAATGATCCCTTTCTAAATTTGAAAATAATTTAGTTTAAACTTCTAATTTTATATTCAATGAGAATTTTATAACCATAGTGGACCTTTTTGACTTGTTCGGAGGGAGCAGTAGATTCAAGATTCTAACTTCTTTGAAAGTGTGAGTTCAAAACTAATTAGTATAGTACTCCCGCCGTCTCAATTGGCGACCCAATCGATATCGATATAGTGTTTGACTAGGGACTGAAATAAGCATAGTTATTTGCGTATCTTAGATCATCTCATAGAGTAAATTGAGTATATTAAAGTTACATTGTTATTACATGTAGAAAGGTACATTTGGCATATTGATGTTAAGTTGTTAATTACTAAATATAAAAGAGTGTCACGATTTTGGCACGGAATAAATTGGGTTGGGACAGTAGGAGTAGTATTTTTTCAGGATCTTTCACATATATACCTATGACCTATGTTACGGAATATTATGAGTTTAATTGAACCTACCCATAACAGTACTCTTGTCTTTGTTGCAGGTGCACAAGGCATAGACAATGTTACACATGGAGTTCAAAGTGGATATCACTATGTTGCTAAGAATGCTAAAGACACAGCACTTCAAAAAGGCCAGCAAACTTATGCTGCAACTAAAGATAACCTTTCAACTGCAGGACAAAATGTAGCTCAGTCTGCACAACAAGCTAAAGACTATACCTTGCAAAAGGCAGGAGAGGCTAAAGACACAGCTCTTCAGAAGGGTCAACAAGCTTGCTATACAACTAAAGATACCCTTTCAAGCGTAGGACAAAATGCAGTTCAATCAGCACAGCAGGCAAAAGATTATGCACTGCAAAAGGCAGGGGAGACTAAAGACACAGTCCGCGACAAGGGTCAGCAAGCTTATTCTACAACTAGAGACACCCTTTCAAATGCAGGAACAAATGCAGCTCAATCAGCACTACATGCAAAAGATTATACACTGCAAAATGCAGGAGAGGCTAAAGATTATGCTAAAGACACGGTTCTTGACAAAGGTCGGAAAGCTTACTCCACAACTAGAGACACCCTTTCAAGTGCTGGACAAAATGCAGCTCAATCAGCACAGCAGGCTAAAGATTACACCCTAAAAAACGCAGAGGAGGCCAAAGACAATGCAGCAGGACTGAGCAAGAATGCAGCAAGCTATATTGGGAAGAGAGCTACAGAAGCAAAAGATGTAACCTTAGAGACAGGCAAAGGAGCAGTAGGATATGCAGGG